CAGTAATTATTAAAGGATATATACAAATTGTTTAAACAGGAAGTAGCCAAGATGATATAATCTATCTATCAATTTGCAGACTCCTTTAGTGAGTGACAAACTTTGGCAAAAAAAAAGACCACATATTATTTAAATAGAGACTGCAGAATTCCACAGTAGAGGTATCTGGGTGCTCTGGCGTATGAATAAAGTCGGCATGCAGACCCAGCAAATGAAATGTTGACATTTATTGTTAGGAGAATAAAATATAAAAGTAGGGAAGTTTTGCTACAGTTGCCCTGGGCATTGGTGAGAACATATTTGGAGTGCTGTATAAACTATAAGTTTGGTCTCCTTATTGAAGAGACAATATAATTTCATTTTTAGTACAGAGAAGGTTCTCTCCACTGATTTGTGGGATGGAGGAGGTGTCTGATGAGGAGAGGTTGGTCTGGTTTGGCCGGAATCCACGGAGTTTTGAAGTTTGAATAATGGTCTTAAGAATCTTGTAAAATTTGTTAAGTGATTCGATAGAATGGATGCTGAAAGGATGCTAGCTTTTATGGTTCTAGAACTAGGGGATGAAGTTTAAAAGCAAAGGGTCACCCACTTAAGACACAGATGAAACGTATTTCTCCAAAGCAGTTGTTAAGTCTCTTCCTCGGACAGCAGTGGAGGCAGGAATATTTATTGTAAGGCTGAATTAACCACATTCTTGATTGATATGGAAGTTAAGAATATAGCAGCAGGTATACAGGAGAGTGGAGGCCAAACTAAGATCGACTAGGATTTGATGAAATGGCCTATTCTTGCTCTTCATTCTGTTTGTTCACAAACAGAAATTCTGATAAAAATTACTATCCCTAATCAAAACTTGACTTCCAAAAAAAAAACACGGTTATTTGAATTCTGAAACACCATTTAATATTATGGCAATGATGAACCATATACTTCAAAGATTTCAAATATTACATTTGGTTCAAAAATTCCAAACTATTTTCACATATTGACATTAAACTGAAGTTATTATACACTTTAAATATTGAAGTCTAATTGCTACAAACTGCAATTTATTCACTAAGAAACTGTCATTGCTTAATCATTTAAAAATCACTTAAGACACATAATGTGTTCAACCTGGAGTCATACAGATTACAGTAATAATACTGTACAAGATGTTAAATTATGGCATGAAAACAGGCATTTCAACTTAGATGACATTTTTAAAAACAACACTGATTTTAGCTACAGAAAAACATTTAGCAGGAAGTAAAGACAAACTTCAACTTGCACCAATTTACCAGTTGTTTAGGTTTCAATTTTTAGACAACAAGGAGTTGATCCACTTTTGAATTTCCAAATAGATAGACAGTAAGCTAACAGTTATTAATAGCCATTTTCACATATCAATGTTTGGATAAGGTTGTAGTGTTAAACTGTGACCAGTGAACTAAAATTCAGCCCATTTAGAGGTTTTATCAGGTTCATATTGTCAACAATTTTCCTGTTCAAAACATGTGGTGCTCAAACCCCACTTGTCCCACAATGGAAATTGCAAATCAAATCAATCTCACCAACTCAAAGACCTGCCGTTAAGCTCAAATAATTCAAACCATTGTTTAATTCGCTGGCACTTAAGCTAGTATGTGTATGTGGCAGAACAACAAAGAACACTCCCTTCATTATCACTTAATTTGGTGCTACGTGAGCCAATATGAATTACAAGTATTTTCAATTTTACTTTTTCAGTGGTTCTGTTGTTCACTTCATTACTGGTTATTCTTCCCACCAATTTTCCCAAAAGTTTGTTTTAAGATGTGCATGCCTGATTTACTCACCCTGACTTTGAATCTTGGAGTAGTATTGAAGAGCTTACAGAGAAGCTGCAACAAATAAAAACACCAAGGGCTCTGCAACCCAAGAAATCAAGAAAAGTTAGTTTTACAACTTACTCTACATCTCTCAAATTAACAAGTGGTGTAATAATCAGAATTACAAATGGTCACTGGAAAATAGGACACGGGGGATTACCAAAGCCAAATATTCACTTAAAAATTGGAGAACTTTTGTAAGGATTTTACATTTAATTTCATGTATGTTAGTTTAGAAATTTTATCACAACCCCAGGTTATAGTCCAAAGGGTTCATTTGAAATCACAAGTTTTCAGAGCATAGCCCCTTCATCAGGTGAAGTGAGGCCTCACTTCACCTGACGAAGGGGCTACGCTCCGAAAGCTTGTGATTTCAAATAAACCTGTTGGACTATAACATGGTGTCGTGTGACTTCTGACCTTGTCCACCCCAATCCAACACCAGCACCTCCCATCATAGAAATTTAATCTTTTAGCTTTCTCCGTGCTTTTTTTGTGCAAATTATGCACATTGAAAGTGAATTAAACTCTCAGGAGTGTCATTTAATTTGGGAGACTTAAAGGTAAAGCTGGAACAATCCCTGTAATAACTTTATTCTTAACTTTGAATGACTTTGGCTTTCCAAAGTGATTTACCAATGGATTGAATATTTCTTACATGCACATTGATTGCAGAGTTCATCAGGTGAAGAAAATAAACAAAAGGTCTAGGAAAAAAAATTGCATCAATAAAGACAGCTTCTCCAGTAAAAATAGTTTAATCCCAATCTGTCTGTCCCAAAAGCAAATATGATCATTTTCTGTCCATTCAGGAAGTGGGATTTACACACTCCAAGAAGTTCACATGCAGAAATGAAAGACTAACCCATAAATAAAGAGAACTATCTTTATCTACATGTGAACTAATCTCAAGAGCACAAAATAATAAAGTTTAAACAATCACAGAAGTCATGAAGCTTTGCATAAAGTGCAGTTATTCTATGTAGAGATCATTAAAAGAAAATGATCTAGTACTAGGACAACTTAATTTTTTGAAAATGTCAACCGCACTTCATTGATTACTGAATTATTAGCTATTACATGAAATTTTATGTACTGTGATCAAGTTAAAATTTCTCAAGTTGTAACAAATAAGGAGTGTGTATGTATTTATCCTGAACTATGATGAAATTTGTGACCCACAAATGACAGTTGGTTTCATAGCAGTTCCAGTTTCCTGAAACATAAATGAGAATATTTTTCACTCGATGTGAATAATGGATGTTTCAAAAAGGTATTTTGTTTACTCACTACCATACTGTGGCAAGATTATTTACTGAGATTTCATACCACAGTGCTCACTACCTTGTTTGTACAAATATACACAAAAACATCAAACATAGATGACAATGTATCCTTTTCCAAAAGTTAAATTCTGTACAAATTGTTTATCCTGAAAAAAAAATAGGGCAATTGTCCTTTGGTAATTTCAGTATTTTCTCCTTAAAGCTGACTGAAAAAGATCAGTCAGAAGTTTCAATAGAATTTATAGATATCCTGTACATGAAAGCTACGTGGAGCACTGGATTATACATTAGCATCAGTAATGCTAAAGTTCAACTCTCAAGCACCTCAAAGTGGTCAATTTTTATAGCAGCTCTCCAGAATCAGTACACCAGTTGACAGCAGGTGCATCACTACAAAGCTGACCTGGTCCTCAACAGAATCACAGAGCACATATTCCAGCAGGACTAATGGGCATGAATCAGGAATGGAAATACTGTCTATGCCAGGATACTAAAAGGTGTCAAAAATTGTGTGTCAGTTGAAATCAGCTAACACAGGACAGAATAAAAAATAATAAAAAAAACTGCTTCCTTATAGCACCGTTTACAACCATAGGACCTCCCAAAGAATTGTAATGAAATACGAAGATTTATTCATGGAACCCTCCAGATTGTTTCATGTAGGCTTACCTATAGGAGAAGCAATCTAATTTATCATATTGAAATTTGAAAATAAAATTTAACTGTGGAGTTATGGAGCTTTAATATGAAGTTGTGCAAAACTGCCTATTATATTTCAATCATTGAACATAAAGCTCTCCAATGCCAAAGTTTAAATAAGTAAGTACTGTTTCTATTGATATTTTGTTAGAATATGCTTTTATGTACGTAAATTGTTCGAGACTAAAAAGTAAATAAAACAGACCGCCAGATGATTTAAGTCAGCAACCAGTGTTAAATGGGAATACGCCAATTGGAAAATTTAGCAACTAAAAATATTGATAGACAACCCAACCAAACTTTGGTACAGAAACAAGAGTTACTTTTATCAAGTTAATGTCTGACCTCTGCTTGAATTTTAACATCCATCAACCACATTCAGATTAAATTATTGCAAACGGACCAAGTAAATGAATATTGCATCAAGCACTTCGTAATACTCACACAGCTGGCCCATACAAGGAAAACCTCCAATCATATTTATTGCTGATTTGGTTTCAAAACAAAAATAAGGAATAAAGGAATTGGCAAATATAATAAAAAGTGAAATGACCTTTGTTTCTTTTTGCATAATATAACATGAGATGAAATGAAAAATGTAATGATTTATCCTTTTGCTTTAAAGGATGGAATCCTCTACACTATATGCCAAATTACCAATGAGTTGTACAATGAGCATAATTACAATGAAACATTGCATTCAAGTTAAGATTATCAAAGAAATATCAACAATGGTTACTGATCTTTTCAAAAAAAAAAACTGAATCATGGAGTAAATCCCAGAATTGCACGCATTAGGCACAATTTAAATTTACTCAGTAACTTTAAATAGAATCCCTGAATATGCACTGTTCTCAATGATGCATCAAGAAAAATAAGTGTTGCAGAGAATTTAGTGAATATAAAACACACCTTGAAATTTGCACGCCAGATTAAAGAAGGAAAACAAAAAACAAAATACTCTAGATGCGAGGAATTTAAAATAATAAAAGGCAAACACTGACCACGTTCAGCTAATCAGGCTAGATTTGACTGAAGATTCTGTGCATACTGCCTAACGTGCTGAAGGATTCCTTCATTTCTTGGCTTTTACTTCACATTAAAAAAGGTACTAACCATAACATTACAATTTTGATCTGTTAAAAAAAAAGTCAGAGTTCAGGCGTTAACTTTTGAAGTAGCCTTTGTTATAAATCCCCAACAAATCTATATTTTACAACTGAACTGCAAATATTACTTCAAACATTTCACAAAATCATTAGTTTGCACACAGCTGTACTCATGTAATGAATGCTCCAGAGCCACGGTTAGCAGTGAACAGTTTGAATGTCAAATGAGTGTTAGCTCAAGTTAAACATTCATTTAAGATTCTTTCAACTAATGAATACTTGTGGCTGGATTGGTGGTGGAAGCTTGTCATTTTCTACATTGTCAGAATCAATTGCAGCCACTGGCTGGCCTCTAGGTTTGATTTCAAGTGGATATTTCTCAATAATATCTTCAACGTCTCTTGTCACACCTTCGCTCCAGTCAATTAGATCTTTTTCAAGCTGCTTGGCATCTGACAAAATTTTTTGTTGTCTCTCACTCAGTTGTGAAATAAGATTTAGGTTTTTGTACATCTGCTTCAGTCCTGGACATGTGTCAGGAGACCATTCCTCAGAGTCCTGCTTCTTAGGTGATGCTTGGCCAGACATATAGCGATCAAAATCTTCCTGAGTCAGGTTCAAAGATTGGGCATCCAATTTCTCAATGAAGGCAACAGCACAACACTGCAAACAAATTAAATGCCATATATTTAAAAACCATTACAAATACAGTTTGAACATGACTTTCAAAAAATTGAAATAATATTAAGATTTCTAACAGCACTGTACAGTCACTGATTCATCAAATCTCAGGCGAGAACCTTTTAAATAATACTTTGATAAGTGAAGCATGATTAATATATGTATCAAAATCCAGACATAAATCTCAAACCTATAATTTATCAAGTTACCATCTCAATTCTATTCTTAACCACAGGTAAGTATACAAGCATTGAACAGGGTGATTTGTTCCTAAATTTGTTTTAAAGATTAGCTTTGAAGATTTTTTACCTATTCTGATCTTACATCCTTTTTCTGTTTTAAAATTTCACTCGAAGGGCCTGAGGACTAGATCATATATTTCCCCCCATTATTGGAGAAAGTAGTGCAAATAGGGGAAAACCATCACAGATCACTAATGCCAAAAATTAGGTGGGCATAGGATCTGATCTCCCCTTTCCCAAAATCTCTTGAAAATTCACATATATTGGTCTGTAGTCAACATAAGCCCAAAGGGTATCCGGTATTGCATTAGGATCCCGGGTCACTCAGAGAGTCATACAATCATATAACACAGAAACAGACCCTTCGATCCAACTAGTCCACGCCGACCATAATCCCAAACTAAACTAGTCCCACCTGCCTGCGCTTGACCCATATCCCCCCAAACATTTCTCATTCATGTACTTAGCCGAATGTCTTTCAAATGTTGTACTGTAGCCACATCAATCACTTCCTCTGGAAGTTCATTCCACACACGAACCACTGTGTAAAAAGGCTGCCCCTCATTTCTTTTTATAAATCTTTCTCCTCTCACCTGAAAAATATGTCCCCTAGTCTTGAAAACCTCCACCGCAGGGAAAGGACACCTGCCATTCACCTTATCTACATCCTCCATGATTTTATGAATGTCTAAAGTCACCCCTCAACCTCCTACACTCCAGTCAAAAAGTCCCAGTGTATCCAGCCTCTCCTTACAACTTAAACTCTCCATTCCTGGCAACATTTTGGCAAATGTTTTCTAAATCCTATCCAGCTTAATAATATTCTTCTTATAACAGGGCAACAAGAACTGCCCACAGTACTCCAGAACAGGCCTCAATGTCCTGTCCTAGCTCAACATAATGCCCCAACTCCTATACTCAAATGTCTGAGCAATGAAGGCAATGTGCTAAACGCCTTCTTAACCACTTTGTCTAAACCTGACAAAAGCTTCAAAGAATTATGTACCTGAACCCCTAGGTCTCTCTGTTCTACAATACTACCCAAGGGCCTACTTTTAATTGTATAAGTCTTGTCCTTGTTTGTTTTACCAAAATGCAACAATAATTTCTTGAAAACAATTCACGTGCATCAGTTGTATCAACCAAGAATTGCAGATTTGACTTTATCAAATAGTAAACCATTGTTAAATAAAAACCGAAAGAACTGCAGATATTGTAAATCAGGAACAAAAACAAAATTGCTGGAATAGCTCAGCAGATCTGGCAGCATTGTTGTTCATTTTAAGAGGATTCCAAGCGTAATTCTAGGTAGAACACTTACTAAATTTGTGAAATAATATCCATCTTCTCCAGTCATCAGTCTGCTTGGATTGCAGAATCGAGTAATATACTGGATGTTTGACTGTAAGCGAGGTGGATTAGCCTTCAAAACAATGTAGATAAGCGTGGGTAAGAAGTCATCAGCAGAAGCAGGCTCATTCTTTGTGATCTTTATAGCATTGAATATTTGCTTGCTGCATTGTGTGATGCAGGTCAATTTTTCACGTGGAACACGTCTTGAATCCATTTCAATAATAGCTATAAAGAAATTCACGAAATTCATTACATTATTAAATTAGTTTTACCATTATGAATTCACCTTTTCAGTTTCTTTTTGTTCCTTTAAAAAATGAAATTCAGTACAGATTTTGAACGCATCATCAAAATTTGATTAGATGATATTGGATCAGCTGCCCATTATACACAATGTCTCATAATTCCATTGACTACAAAGGATCAAACACTACCTTTTGCGTCAATGTCCATGATTAATTTCTATCCTGGTGGTTCCAATGTTAGTCGCAGCTCAGCCGGTAACGTTCATACCGAAGTCATGAGCTTCTAGACGCAAGTTCTGCTCTATGAACTGAGCACAATACTCAATCCCAAAACACTAATGTAGCATGGAGAATGTTGTATAGTCATAGATGCCATTTTTAGTTGAGATGTTAAACCGAGGGCCCCTTTGCCCCTCAGGTGAGCGAAAACATTTCATATTTGGCACCAATTTGAAGAGTGGGATAGTTATCCCCAGTTTCCTAAATAATATTCTCACCTCAAATCAATATCACAGGAACTTGCTACTTTCAGTTTGGCTGTCATGTTTCCTGCATTACTACAATGTCTACTACTTCTAAAGTACTTCATTGGCTGTAAAGAGTTTTAAAATTTCTAGTGGCTGTGAAATCAGCTATACAAATACTTGTCTTTCCTTCTTTAACAAAAACAATAAGCATAAACCTATTTCTCTTCAACAGCAATATAAAGGTCTTCCTGTCTGTAATATTATAAATTTCAAAACTTTAATAACTGTTCGTGGATCAATCAATCGACAAAAAATAAACTGTTACACATGGAAAGCAGCAGCAATAACTGCGTCTGGAATAAACTATTAAAAGACAAGGATAAACTTATACAGGAATTGAAAGCAATTAGCCATGTCTGGGAAAAGACGGAGCTGAAACTACATAAACAAAATTGCTTTGACGCTTGCTTGATAAACTAATGCCTTATTGCCACAAATGACAAGGATTGCCCTGCAGAATTTAATGAATTAACTGCAGGAAAGCGGTGTCTTCAAAAAGACAGTTAAGGCCAAATGTAACAAGAAACAAAGAAGCTACTTTGCTGCAGCTTTGCAGTAATTTTAGTTGAAAGAACTTTTTAAAAATCATCAAGAACAATACACATAGACATGAAGGACAAAAATCTGCATAAAGGAATCGAACATCAGAATTCCCCCTTTACCAGAACTTCTAAGAACAATGCTGCATGAGGATCAAACCCTGGACTCTTCCAGAGATAGACACTATTGGTAGAAACATGGCCAAGTTCCACTATTAATTGGGTACAGCCAAATTGGGTTGAGGCTTCACTTGCTTACTTGAGAGGTCTTTTTTTGGTTGATATATGCGATAAAGTTTAAATCACAGTTTCAGCCCTTGATTGTCTTGTGAGATTTCTTAATAAGTGGCCAATTTAAAAGCTAGCTTGTGATGATTTATCCACAACATGTCAAACAAGGAATGATATCAAAGTCTGTATGTTCTATTTTTGACATCTGGTTATTTGAATCGTCTTATGAGTTGACTCCATTCTATATTTATATGAATGGGTGTATTATTCTACCTCAATTTGTGGGTGTATTTCTGACAGCTGCAGGAGACGGGATGATGATCTAATTTTATATACCGGCTCCATCAACCTGGCCCCGAAACAAAGTAGCAAGAGGCTCAATATTGAAGGTCTCAAGTATACCATGAAGACAGTTCTTTTCAGCCAACAGGCAACAGGAGTTGCTGTCTGTGGTCCACTCTAAAGACAAACCAGAATCAGTACAAATGTCTGGTTAAATCTGGATGGCACAACCACTCCTGACTAACTATGGACCATGTGAGCACGCTAGTTGAAAACAATCCCAGCAGATATATTAATAAAGTTGTAGAGTGGAGTCATTTCAGTTAACCATTGGTTTGCAGGGTTCTGACTGACTGCTGCATCCAGTTGAATGGACTCTTACCTCTCAGGATGCACACCATGGGGTCTAATAAGGTCTTTGTTTATATGCCTTTGATTCAAGCCTTGTTTCCTATTTTTAGGTTAAAAACATTTTTATTCTAATTTGTTGGCTTACAATCACTAATTAATTCATCCATACATGACCATCTACATGTATTTCAATGCTTTGTCTCAGAGTTCACACATTTTGCTGATATCGCCAACTCCGCTCTGTTTCTGTCATGGTGTAATTGTGCACTGTTTCCTACCTTTCCCATTATCCTTTACATAAATAAAAGTACATGAAAAAATATTTTTTCCAGCTTTAAGAGACAAAGATCCAAGGCTTTCCTAAACATAGCATCTCTTCAAATCTTGACGTGATTTATGCAAAGCTAAAGTCATGCTTTGCTTTTTGATTCAACAATTGTGTGTCATTTCTCAGTATTTCATAAACTTATGAAACAATCACTTAAATCTGCATCAGCATTGGTGAAGAGGTTCTTGGCTTCTCTACTAGGATATACATGAGAATGGCGACTAAAAATTTCCATGAAATAAAAGGAACTAAATGAGTAAAAGTGCAAAGCAATTGGAGACTGACAGCATCATCACAGTGCCAGAGAAAAACAGCAAAGCTATTGGTGCCTGAGGCAGTGTACAACATAAAATCTATAGCATGGAAAGAAAAAAATGGTGAGTGAAGTGCGCAAGATAGATCCAACAGTTTCAAATAAAATACAAAGTGAGTGGGTTTTATTACTGTCAAGACCAGCTAGGGCCTAAATATTAAAGGCATTTCATTGAAAAACAAGAATGGAGCAGCCTTATCGGGGCAGAGAGAAAATTAATGTCCACTCACAGAATATTTTGTGGAGATCCTCAACGGAGCTTCTGGAACACTCTTTCCCAGAGACCAGTAACTGCAGTGTTATTGAATGTTTTCAAAACAATGATAAATAGATTGTTGACTATCAAGGAGCCAAAGGATACAGAGGGTAGGCAGGAATGTTGAGATGCAGCCACAATCAGATCTACCATGATCAAACTGAATGGTGGATCAGGCTTGTGGAGCTTAGTGGCCTACTCCTGCTCTTAATTCTCGTATGAGATTCTTTTTGAACTGACTAGTCTCGGTCTCAGACACCACATGACCAAGTGTCAGTGTTATCCCAATTCAGAGTAACGTCAAAGAATCCATTTATCAGCTGATAAACAAGCCTGCTGATGCAAACAAAATTTCTGCTGAAATCCTAAGACATGTTAGAGATACTTTCCTGGCATGATTG